GACGTTTAACAGCATATCAGTAACAATTTTGGTAAAACCTTTTATAATTGCGATGTCATAAAGGCCAGTCGCAATATGCGCTCTATACAGGCTAATTTGGCAAGTCAACAATAAATTTAACACTAATTGGCTCTTGTCCCGTCAGCGATTATATTGTACATTGGTTCATTAATTAAACGCCTTACCACTGAGATACGGCTTTCGGATGAGGTATTTTTCTGTTTCCTATAGTTGGCCGCCACTGTAATTTCCTACCCTGAAATTGCCCTGACAGAGGCAAATTAGCTGGTTTACACAACTCTTTTGACGAAACAACAATGAGAGGCTTAGTAGTATTGTCTTCTTGCGGTATTTGTTCTTCCTTCATGCTTACAACACTAGGTACAGAGGGAACGTGCCTCGATGCTGAAGATTCCGTTTGATCGCATTTTTTTCCAAAATCCACGCAAGAATCAGACGCCCTACGCCTATCGTTTTTACAAAGCAGTTCTTTGTAAGCGTTTTCTTGTCGGATAGCCTTTTCGTTCCGATACTCTTCGATGTATCGCTGTGGTTGTAAGTAATGTTTGAACTCTACGATATCCGCTTGGTTTCTTGTAAACTGTTTTGAAATCGCCTTTCGCGGAGTGCCTGAACGATGTTCTTTGGAGTCAGCTTTAGATGGCGTAGATCGACGACAAACTGGTTTGTTTTCATTAGAAATCGTTCGCTCCGTAATCCATCCAGTTAACTGAGGCTCGCTTGAACTCAAAACATTGTAGGATTGAACTGTTTCTGTGGCTTTACTAGACAGTTCTACGAGGGCCAATACGAAATGGTCGATGTCTTGAAATTCGTCGTCCTCTTGAGAAAAAGACATTTCCTTCTTTCATACCGAGCACAACTGTAATTAGATGTGAGTTGAATTTTTATCACCGCTGCCGAAGTCAATTATTAGAGCAAATTGCTAAACAAGCAAGCTAATCGCTTTGTTTCCATGGTAATGTTCTTTCAAAAGAATGGTTGATGCAATTTTGCATGAAGAAATATTCAATGTGCGTTTGGTATGTACATGTTTTATTAACCAGAAAGCGCAAACGTCGGAGGACCACCTGATCGCAGGTTAATATGTTACAAAAAAAATGCTACATTTAAATATAAATCGACGAAAAAATATTTAGATTATAATTGTAATCGCGTCACGCCATCTTGTCCCGGCCTGAGCGGAGTCCTAGGGTAGCCCTTCACTCCTTTCCCCAACCTCGTCCCCAGGGCGCTTTTCCCTGGCTTTTTTTCCCCAATCCCCGTCTGCTTGCGCTTTCTCATATCCTCTTCACCCTAGGGAAAAAACGTGATGGGTTTTGTTGTTGAGGTGTAGAATAGAAGTGTGATTTACTTGATTAATAAAGAGGTTAGGTCGGTTAGAGGGAAGTCACGCGCGAAAGGAGACTCCGACCGCTCGCTCGCACGTTCTTCCGTGGCTCTTTTCGTCCAATAGGGTTCCGCCGCGCGAACTTGAGACGAACAATATTCATGCAAGCCAAGATCATGCAAAAAATTCTACAAACTAAAATTAACAAAATAATTCTAGCAGGGGTGTTCTCTTTCTCGGTGAATAAAGTAAAAAATATAAGTGATCTCATGCAGAGATACGATTCAAGCGTGAAGTTCAGATGAAGCTTTTAATTTAGAACACGTTTGGGCCATTTTTTCTTATCTCCGCCAACATTGTCATGCATACGCTCTTAGGAAAAACTTTGAAATCCTATCTTATCTGGTAAACGGAAAAGGAGAATTGGTGCAAACTAAGTCCTAAGTTCCTTTCCCAACCTTATCAAGACCCATCAATTTTTAAAATTCGTCATTTGCACATCTTCCATAATGCACCTTCTTTGCCCCCCAAATTTTGCATAAGCATTGTCTTCAGTTTGTCTTGGGACAACTGTAATACCCATTTGTAACTGCAAATTTTTGGGAGGGGGAGGAGGGTAAACGAGGCATATATATTATGTGAAATGTGTAAATGGTTAATGGCCGGTCCACGAAGCGAGCGAACGATCAGTGTAAATTGGGGTTCCAGAGGTACATAGCTCGCAGGGAAGTGTGGGCTCTTCTACATTCTGAGATACGATATTAACTCATTATATTTCGGTTACACTATCCATCGTTTCCTCCCGTCCCGTTCCAAGGGATTTTTCCCTTACTAATGGAACAATAAGATAATCGCTCGCCATGCCCTCCTCTGAATGATTATCTTTCACTTGCTTTTCCCTTTCTCTATCCTAGATCCTGAGAAAATAGCCGACATTTTGCGACGGTACGCATCACTGGCTTCCTCTTAAAATGAAGTCTGAGGGACAAGCGAGGGATTCCATACTAATGACACACTGTTACCTAGAACTAGGAGTTTTTTTTTTTTCAATCAATCAGAAGCGCTACTCATTTCTAAATAGTGATGTGTCATCAGCGGGGAATTTCTAGGCTCCTTCCTTGGACGTCATTTCGCGCGTACTTTTAAGTTCCGCAGATCCTCTCGATCCTATTACGCTTTTAGGACAGCAAAAATGTGTGGATCTGAAACCTAATTATGGATTTAATAAAGGTCGTGAAACGTCTACTGTTTTCCCAGCCTAATTCCGGCTTTCCCTTGTCAGCTCTTTGTAAATGTAGTTATTCTTCTCTCTTCTCACTACTTCCCCTTTCACCCTCTGCCTCTAAGAACTGCTCTCCCCAGGGGTCTGCGGTATAAAAATAACTGCATGGAATGATTTCCAGACCGCCTTCCTACCACAGCCATTCGTTCTGGCTGGAAGAAAATAAGTTGGAAATTAATGCTGCTTGCCGATGGCGAGCGTAGCGCGAGGACGGTATTTTTACCCAGTATTAAGATGCACGTGATAAAGAAAGCATAACACTGATGGCAAAACACAAGTTGCGTACTGGTATTCTTTATTTACAATATTATCTATTTACAAGAAGTAAGTGATCTAGGCTGTATGAAGCATGCTACGTTCACACGAACTGACACAGAATCCCGGTGGCAGTATTTCGGAGTCTAGACCAGGTGTACTCAAAAGGAACTGTTCCTTTCAAGGACAACTTATTTGTCAATGTGTTGCTACTGGACTTATCAAAGCCAAGACGAAAGTAAGTCGTCGTTTTTACACTCAGCCAGTCCAGAAAAAAGTTCTGGAACTGTGCAAAATCAAACCTGCGAAAAAAGTTACCACAGACTCCGTCTGATCTGTTCTTTTTGTTTTGTTTCTAACCGGATCCGTTAGTAAGCAGTTTCGGGTGAACATAGCTGCAGAAATCAGAGAACTGGACAATTTACGACATATTCTTTTGTGAACAATTAAAAGCGATCGCCGATTCTCGATTCCAAACAGCAATGCAAGCACAATAAACAAATCAATTTGATAAAAGATACACTTCAAAGATTTTTAGTTGAAAGGAAAAGAAACAAACTCTTGATCACGTTCTAAGTAGCATTAAGATGGTGTGATCTGATATAGAATGACGTCATACCAGCTTTGTTTTCCTCCATTCCTTTGCACTGAGTAAGTCATTAATAACCGTGACGCAGCCGTTGAGATGTGACAACTTTGTGTGACTACACTCAATTGTCTCTTTACTGTGCAAATATGGCTGATAGTATATCCTGGGAAATTTAAGCGTCATGCAAAGAAGTGCAGTTCAAAAAAGGGTTCAAGCAGGGTGGAAGAACTTAAAAGGCCAAAATGAACAAAGCGCGAAAATTAGCAAACAAAATCAGTTAGCAAAGAAAAGCAAAGGGCAAAAAAAAAATACACAAAATGAGAATATAAAAAAGTTCAGCAAAAAAAGTGATAACCGATACAAGCCTATAAACATCAAATACAAACCTAAACTTGCTGCCTATTGCATTGCAAAAGCAAGCGGGCGGTAAATTGCCAAATAGCAACCTATCAATTGCAAAAAGCATGCACCTAAATTGCAAAATTACTCCTATAATGCCTGCAAAAAGCGCAATAATAATTTTAAAAATAGCCTAAAATTGTAAAATGCGTGCACCTAAATTGCAAAAAACAACCTATTACATTGCAAAAAGCTTGCATATAAATTGCAAAAAAGCCTATCAAAAATTGAAAGAAGCAAGTCATTAAATTGCAAAAGTGCAAATGTATATGGGCTTGTAACAGTTTGGAAAATTGACGACAGGAAACGTAAAAAACAAAAGGCAAAATAATATCAGAGAAGCTATGATTAGTCCGGCATTGTTTAGTAGTAAGAAAACTTGATATAAATGAACTTATGACGTAAAAAGAAAAGAAATGGAAAAATCTTGACCGACTTGCCGTGAGTGAAAACAAAGACAGTTTTTTAACGAAAGTCAAAAACGTCTAAGAGACAAGAAATTTGCACAGTAAAGATCCAATGGACGTAGTCACACAAAGAGTGACATAAACGCATGCGTCACTATTAGGATGAACCCGATTGTATATCAGTAGTGCATCAGATTGGATGAAACCATAGCAACCTAGTTTAAATAGATCACGCGAATGATAAAGTCATTCTACACCTTACAACATCCACGTTTTGCATGAATTATAAAGATGTAATAGATTTTCCAAAACCAAATCAAACCAAAAAAATGACCATTAAGGACTGATGCATGCATGTTGTCTGGAATAAGCTGTGATTATAACCTACTTCGTTTTTTTGTTGTCTTGGTCACATCTTCAAATTTGTTCTGTCTGCTTTTGTCAGTTCAGGGCTCATAAAAAACGTTTCTTACTTGTAAGGAAGAATGACTGCATGGTATTAATCAAATACAAAAGAGTTACTTCCATTTCGAGGAAAAAAAGACAAAAATAAAATTTTTCTTTCAGTATCAAGTATTAAGAATTATACAATTAAACTACTTATGTTTTTTTCTTCTCTATTTACATATTTACATGATTATTTGCAAGAATAGAATAGAATCTTTAACAAGCGGGAAAAAACTTTTAAACCTGCTTTAAAAGAACTCGACTGAAGAAATACAGTGATGTTTAGCTTTCTTCGAGACTCGGCGTAAAAATGTAACTGTTTGCATACAGAAGAAATATTAATGAAGTAGATTTCCTTTACTTAGAAAGGCTATTTAAATATACTCTTATCAGTATAAGTAGTGGTTTAAATTAGTTTCTATTTACATATTTACAAGTATTTGCGTGTTTACAATTTACAGCAGAATAGGAGAGGATCTGAAATCAAGAAGAATAAAACAAATCTGTTAGTCATTATTGGCCTGCTGACAATGTATGCAGCGCTAATGCAAAGGCCATGGGTCAAATTGTAATTTCTTAAATTGTAATTACCACTGCGACGATCATATCTTAGTTTAAAAAAAAACATGTTAATGATAAAATACACAATAATGGAAAAATAATTTGGCGTGCTGTCTCATGATTCCATTTAACTAGTCTAAATCCGTGATCAATGTTTTTTCAGCGGTTGTCTTCTATTCGGCCAGAATGGTTTACAATAGATGGAATCAAACATTGGCCCAGTAGAGTCAGTTCCACGACTTTTTTTTAAGCTTCGGTGAAATAAAAAGCAAATAAGCATCCTGGAAAATGATCTGCAGACTGGGGTTACAATTAGAGTGTTAACTGATCTTAAAAGAAAAAAAAAGACGCTAGTAATTACTCACCAATTTTTTTTTCTGTTCAGCAAGTTTCTCTTTGTTTATCTTTAAGGCAATGGAGAATATCAAGAAGCTTGGCCTCTTGCATTGTGTGATAGTCTGTTCTACGCCAATCTGAAAATGTAACAACAAAATATCATTTGTCTTCAATCTTTTTTCATTAGTCCTTAGTACACGTTCGTATCCCTTGTATATAAGCAAGATAAACAAAAAAGAGGCGGCGGTGCACTCAAGCTTTTTGGCAGGCGGACCCTCTAGTGTGCAGCTTTATTTCACTTAACTATTCCACAAAAATAACAACAACTAAAATAAGCAACCCCAAAAGCCTTTAAGGGTGGCCAATTTACCTTATCAGCTCGGTTGATAAAAGAAAAATTGTAAGTATCATTCCCTCACTGACATACTTTCACAGTTTGTTTCGGAAATGATCTCGAGTCCCTGCAATACTGCTGTATCTGAATTGTGCGTCCTTACTTTCATTCAAACGCTTTTTCACTTTCAATCTTTGTCGGGATGATACTTTTTAGTGCATGAAGTCATAGTTAAATTCTAGGCCGAGTTTATTGTGTAAAAGCTTTCTGTTAAACGCGCCAAGTGAAATGAAAAGGGAAATTAGCACCATTCCATTCTACACTAATAATAATAATTCCGTTATTTTCCCTCGGCAGTATTACAGCACTTATGCTAGCAAATGCCTGAAACAAATAATTTAAAGACTCCCAACCGGCCGGAGGCAAACTAGCTGGATCAGTTTACAAACATGGGCGAGGATTTGAACTCGGTACTGCAGATCGAGATAACAAATCCAGCTAACGGTCAGAGCGGGACTTGAACACGGAGCCTCCGAATTACCAGTCCAGCGCTCTGACCACTGGACCATGCTGCCTCTCTTTCGATAATTTCTCCCACTCGTCAAATTGATTCAAGTACCATATATCATTTCACCGATTCCGCAACATTGTCGATAATACACCCAGTTCTTTTGTGTCATTAGCAATGTGAATAAACAATGTTAATATACCTTCCAATGTGAAGAGAAGTTTGAGTTCTTTTCTGAGGATATCACAACAATGCTCAAGATTCTCCTGTTTTTCACTGAAGAGATAAGCAAGAAGATAAAGACAATTTTGATATGAAGATAGATATACCAGTTTCCTTATTTACTCGATTAAACACGCCGCGGCGTTTCAGATTAGATTTTTCGCGCTTCTGTTGCGGTGTTAATTTTGCCAATACATTTCTTAAATCACTGACAACAATTACCGTAAATGATTTGAAAATATGTTAAAAGAAAGGTGCTTGAAGTTCTCAAGTCTCACTTTTTTGCTGAGAAATAAGAGCATGGATGTTGTAGATTACCAAGATGTACGGGTTCTTGCATTAACTACTCATTGTTCTCGTTGGCTGCAGTTATTGGTAAACTTGCTTCCATCCACGGGATTTATTTGGGAGAGGTGTTTATTCGAGTAAATACGGAATGTAGATCAAAACAGTAGTGGTAGTGGTAGTGCAGTAGCGTTTTCACATAAACCCATACTTGTAATACTGCCCGTGAGAAGAGTTTGACTAGCTGTAATGAGGTTTTTTGGCTGTACAATAAGTTTTTCTTGAAGTAATTTGCCGATCACCCGCTTGGTGTGCCAGTGCAGAGAACAGACGCTGTTATCAAGATCCATGGTGTACCATCCTGGACACGTTGACGAAGCTTCATTATGCATTGTAAAAGACTGGCTTTCTTTAACGGGGCACAACAAAGACATTTTGCCAGTAGACGATAATTAAAGTATCACTTACAGAATTTGAAGATCGGCTTTTCTCTCTTTTAGCTCGTCTCCGTAACTCAACAAGATCATCCAGTCCTGTTTTAGACCATCCAACTCCTCTTTGCACTCTAAATACAAGATATTCAGCGCATAATCATATACTCAATTTCGACTGATTCTACACATTATCTATAAACACAACTGGAATATGAAAGTACCACTAAAGAAATTACTTTGAATACAAGAAATTCATTAGCAATGTTGCAACCATCTCAAGAAGACTGGTAAGAGTCTTAGACTAAAAGTCTATATACAGATTGCAGAGCCCGTACTACTCATTTAAACATGCTTAAGCTTTTGTGATTAAAGGAATTGAAGCCTGAACTGACCTTTAATCTCCATTGCCTGACGTATTTCAGATTCTAGCTTGACTGTTACTTTTTCCAAAGAAGCAATTTCTTCATTGACGGACTTCATCTCTGCGCTCACATAAGCTGACAGTTCAGGGTAATTCACAGACGCTGCTGAAAATAAACATAGAATATAGAAAAATAACCTTTTAGTCCAGCAATAACAGCAAATAAATACGGTGAAACGGTCTGATAATATTGCATTGCTTGAGAGCTTCTCCCTTTTTAATTTTCGCTAGGGAGAGGACATGGCCTTAAACATGATTTTCATTAGCGACGGAGTCGGAGTCGTAATCAAAAGCATAAAACTCAACGACCTAGTGAAAACAATTCCTCTTACGACTCCGTCGTTAACTATGAAGTGTAAACTAGGTTGTCGGGTCGCAAGCAGAAGCAGAAGAACTAAACCCGTAATAACGTGCGTTGTGATTGATTTCTCCTTCCGCTTATGCTTCCGACTCCAACAATCTGATTTTCACTAGACCGTGAGCGACTGAGTCGTAAGCGGAGTCGGACGAAAATGGAAACGTTCTGATTCTTCCGACTCCGATTCCGTCGCCCTTATGACTCCGCTAACACTCCGATTCAGTTTGATTTTCACAAGGTCATAAGCCCTCTTACGACTCCGCTCACGATTCCAAACTCGGACTCAGTCGCTGGTGAAAAACCAGCTTTTAGACCCTCCAAGGAACTCGTGCCCTGGTCGGTGATCGCTGACTGCCAGTTGGCCTGAAGGAAGCACGGTGCTTCCTTCAGGCCAATTGCCTGACAACAGCCCCGCAATGTGTATTCCTATTACACAAAAAATCTCTCATTGTAATTTCTGAACGGAGCAAAGTCAAAGATTACTGAGCGCGCTCTTATACTAGCTGCGCACTCGAAAAATTAATTTCTCAATTACTACAAAAATTTCAAATTGTCCTTGTTTTGTTTTTGTACCTTTTTTGGGACCATTCTCCAACAGCTTCTTGAAAAATGAAGATATCATTTCTTTATCGTCGTGTGAATCAGCTGAAGTATTTTCCTTCCTTTCACCAGCCGGCGTATCTATTTTGGGCGCTGTGAGTTGACCAGATGTTCCAGAGCCATAATGCTTGTCAACATTTCCACCGCATGCAGAGGAGCCATCTTCCTTGGGAAACAGTTTTGATGTCTCCTTCCCGCTGGCCTTGGGCTGTTTTTTGCCTTTTACAAACCCACTGAGCTTTCGTCGATAACTTGGTATTGAAGGAACTTCTTCGAGTGAAGCCTTTTCCTCGCCTTGCTCTGGAGCTAAATTTTTTCTTGTTTCCTGTTCACTCACTTGTGTTGTTTCTGGTTTGGTTGGCAACACGCCGTTGGATGCCAGAGATTGTTCAGCTGGTTTGGAGGTTGCACCAGAGGTTGAATCTTTTGCACTTTTGGTCTTGCGACTATCTTTTTGTCCTTCAACATTTGCAGGTGTATCGGTATTAGAAGACTCTTTTCCTTCATCTGCTGAAGGTGTTATGGCTTTCACGTTGTTGTTGTTATCTTCAGCACAAGTCACAGACTCTGCAGTCTTGTGGCAGTTTGAATGAGCGCTCGGCGGCTGTGGTTGAAAAATTTTCTTTTCCACCTTTGCTTCTTTTTCGTGACCGTTGTTAACACTGTCAGGCGTGTTGTTTGCTCTTTCTTTGGTTCTTCTTTTCTTGTTTTTTCTTTTCCTTGGTGTATAAGGAATCTCTGATGGTTTATCGACAGAGGAAAACAGAAGTGAATCCGTGTGCTCCGCGGAGGACACAGCACTTTTGGCAATTCTGTTCTTGGCTGATTTAAAAGCGTCTGCCATGATTTCTTCGAATATTTCCTCATCGCTTCGACTGTGATAAAAACAAGCAGAACATGAATTGGATAAGAAATGGAGCGAGGATGGAACATAATCTAGTCCAGAGGGGTTATTTATATCCGGATTATATGAACAATTATCAAAATAAACAACAACAAAAATGACATGAAACAAAAGGCTAGTAAAACTAGAACAGAAAGTGGACTTCCGAATTTCAGTGATAGTTATAAAATTTTAGTGCAACTATCCGTACTGACTCAGGATGGTAGAGATGACACTGCAGTGAAAAATGATTTCGTTCGCGAGCTAGATTTCAAAACTTGTATACGTGTCTGATCTTATTCAATTCCTACAACGTAGTCTACTCTGACGGTACCTTACATCACTCACTAATAGGTCATTTCTGGGTTTCCCAAAGCCTCTACTTCAAAGCGAGGCGAAGTGCCTTGCATGATATTTTCTGTCATGCAAATGAAACCCATTTTCACAAGAAAGGTTTTGCACGTAGCCTCGTTTTGAAAGCGAGATTGTACGGCAAAGCGAACGAGCAGGAAACGTCCGACTTCTTCGCTCGGACCACGTGACAAGGGACTAAGCAAAGAAATACTCACAGTGACCCTCACGGTTGGTACAGATTCTCTTTACTAATTCACTCCCTCAAAAAATGACAAAAAGATGCATGTCTGAAAAAATTTTTAAAGAGCCGATACTGAGAGGAGAGTTTTCCTTTTAGGGTACTATATACTGTATACAACAACACAATACTCACTATGGTATTCCATCTTCTAGCATCACAGAGGTCAAGTTAAACTCCATTGTTCCTGACAGAACGTTCTTCATTGCTGGTTTTAATGTGACGGTTATCTCAAATGTTTTGTTTGTCTCGCTGATATAATCCGCTAGATCAATGCAGCCCGTAGCAATAACCTGGCGCCGACCATTTTCACTCTCCTGCAAAAACAAGGCACATTTTTGGAAAGAAAAAGACCATTTGTAATACGTTGCACAAACGAGAGAGAAATGGTGTGCCAGTTTTTCCGATAAGACAGTTATCACTGGCAAAAATTGAAGTGTTGTTTGGAGTCAGGAGATAGTTCTCCAATACACGGTGTGTTCAAAAATGCCTGTTAGTTCCAAGTTGTCTAAGTTTTATTAGCAAGTTATTTTCTTTTCCGTAAGCTGTGTAAATTAGTATTTGTTTCTTGTATTGTATTCCATAGTTTGCAGGTTACCACTACAATATGTTTTTGTCATCTTTGATGGTACGAATGCAAACTTACATTTTGGACAACAATCCTCCAAGGGCGGTCTTCGTAAGTACCAGCTCGTTTTGGGTTCTATGAAAAAAATAGATCTCACATATCAACCTTGAATAGAAACTCGGTCGCTGATGTTTGTGAAATATTTGTAAGTTTGTGTGTCAAATTTTAATAAATATCTCATACTGAAGAAATGTAAATGAGCTCGAGCAGCCTCCAGTCACATTTCTTAAGCTTAAATCAACTTTTTAAAAGTAAGTCTTTAACATTATGATAAGAGGCTCTTTACCTTGAAGAGTTTGAAAGTGTTTTTAACCGGATCCGGTTCTGGCCAAACATGAGTACCACGGTATGGGTTAACAAATCCTGGCTGCCATGGAACTGGCTAAAAAAGATCAAATTTTTTTAAACCTTGATAAGCTTAAGCTGATTTTCACTGTAAACAGTTGAACTCAAGGAATTTCAAAAAGAATAATGATGTCAATTCAAAAATTCAAAGAGTAAAATAAGTACATACCTTCGTTTGGCAACTGTTATTTTCTTTGCCCCACAAAATGACGAGCTTGTTAGGATGCCTAGGAAAACAAAAAAGCGAAGAAAAGCAGAGAAGTTAAGCTGAGATTCAAAAACAGTGGCAATAACAAATTTTGACCTTGCATATTTCGTTTAATCCGGCAGCCAGAAGGAACACAAAACAATTACCAAAAAATCACTCAGCTAGACTTGTCGACGGAAAAATTTAACTTCCAGTACTTGTAAGTTTGGACATGGATAATAGAAAGACTGGATAGGAAACTGGCTGACGCGATCGTTTCCAACATAGTGGAAAAATGTGACGTCACATTATTGAGAACCATTCAACCCCATTCGACGTTTTGCGCGTCTTATGTTTCCTCGCATATTTCACTATCTCTGTCTTCGACTATACATATTGGCCATGTTTTGAAGTAAAGGATGAAGAGGACTTGCTCTTGGAGAAGATTTGAGTACAGAACCGGTAGAGGCAAAAGACAGAGTCAATGATTATGAAACTTGTGAGAGCGACGAATGACTCCAGCGCCCGGTAATTTTATGCACCAAACGGGAAGCCTAACTACATAAAAAGTGTGCGAAAACTTACATGTATACAGCTACAAAACACCTATAAAAAAGGCACAGCCTAATTTTCTTCAAACCACAAGAAAACGGGAAAAAATTTTAACCCTTTTCATCAGGGTTTTCATGATTTCTTTTCTGCTTTTATCGACAAGCTCAGCGAGTGTCAAATTTTATAAGTTAACAACCCTTGACAAAATGATTTTATTAGCGGTAAAAGTACCCAGCTCAACCAAGCGTTTAATTTTCCCTTCAATTTTATTTACGGACAACCAGTGACAAGAAGTCGTATTTGAGAAATATAAAAAAGCGGGGAAAAGCTCACAGCAGAGAAAGGAAATTCGCTTGCGGACCAACGTGGAAACGCCGTTTCTAAACTTTTTCAAATCAATTTTCATTGTGAAGCAAGTTGTTTTGTTTTTTTCAGGTATAAATGTACAGTGACCCAAGGTACTTTTCAGTCAGGTCTTTGAAAAAGCGAACTGCAACGCTTTTAAAAATGTTATGTAAAACGGTTAATTGTTAACTACCAGAATACAACAGGGAAGCAAACTCTCCTGGTTAATAGTAGAACCTTCACTTCTTTTTCATTAGGAAACACTTGTCTTCCATGAGGCTTAATAAAACCTAGAAATGTATTATCTTTGAAATACTGACGTTTAAGTTTTTGTGTAGTGTTAATGATATGGATAAGGAATACTGTAAATGACCTCTGAAATAAACATAAACACTGTTCCCAAAGAAAAATAGAAGCTGCTTATCTATGTATGAAAAAAAAACAGTAACATCCATCAGGGGTTATGGGGTTTTTGTTTAGTCTGAGGTAAGTGGATGAGGGATTGAAAAAATATGACTGTCTGGTCACATTATCATGTTGTTGAAAACAAAATGCACCCCCCAAACAAGTACAGGTATATGTTTTATTAATCTGATTTAGAATATACCTTGGTAAGGTTTATCATCTACAGGTACATTGTTGCTTTGGATCTCTAAAAAACCGAATACAATAATAGTGCTAATCAAGTCCATCTTTGGTCTGAAAAACGATGTGATTCAGATATAGACCGTTTCAGGGAAGAAGATTAACCAACTTAAACACATGACTCTGTAGCTAATACAGGCATTGACCCTCAAACACAGTTAATTTGTCCCACTCACAAAGAAGTAATAAATACACTTCAGAAGTGATAAATAAAGTTTCTTATCATAAATGCTTTAGAAGCCACCTTCTGGCTCTCATGCATGACTAAAGCAACTTTGTTGATGTTTAATACAGAAAGATTGATTGATTTGTGCCCTCTCAGAAGAGTACTTGACCACAATTTTACTGTCTTCGTTGACTATGTGTGTTTGACAAGTCCTACAAGAATGAAAAACAAAAGGAAATCTAAAACACTGTTTAAAAAATAACAATAACACTTAGGAGCCTAAACGGAGGACAAAAAAGTCAGTAGGTGTTTTCCCATTGATGCAACAATTATTTATAGTTTATGTAAGGGAAAAGTACAAAATTTATTGGAGTCTCTTCAGTGCCTTCGAATACAAGCTGCGAGGAGCGATGTGAAGCGATTGTATTCACTGGACATGTAATATAGCAGTTTTATTTCAACATTAAAAGATGAGCGAAATTAACATACTGCTTTACGAACAATATAGCAGGGTTAATCTAGGATATTACTTGAGCGAAACAGTTTTCAACCCAAACTTGTCGGTCGATTGGAACTTCACACACCGTGTGCGTACCCTTGCTCGGAGCCAGCTCCGAGCGTAGTTAGTTTCAGCCATTTTCAAATGAAATTTATGGCTGAAAAATAACAGCATTTAGTCTGTAACTATGCCTATGCCACAATTCCATTATTAAAACATCTGTCAATCCTAGTTAAGAATAGAAACAAGAAGAAACCTTCATAACAAAGGCGTCCCAAAACAGTCGCCAAGTGTACTAAATATGTCTCTGGTAAGGTCAATTTTTGGGACGCAATTTTCTCAAAGACAAGGACAAATAACACAAAACAACAACAAGAAGTGCTTACTTTGAAGGTTCAAGTGTGGCTTTGAAGGATCGCCATCGCCGTAAGACAACAAGCGAAGGAAAAAACACCCACCAAAAATTAAAGTACCACTAAAAAATCCGAAAAAGAACAACATGCAGGCAAAGAAACCCTACATTTCGACTGGTTTGCGCCACATTTTCGCCATCGTTTCGTCACAAATCTCCACTATGATGGAACCATCCAACGCCATCTTGGAGCACGAACCAACCAATCGGCGATAAGAAATCAGCCCACGTGACATAAGTTTCCTATCCAGTCTTTCTAATTATCCATGGTTTGGAATAGAATTTCTAACTGTTATGCAAATCTTGGCCGCCATTTTCTTAAAAACGTTTCGTGGGAACAAGTGACAAACTTAAAACCCTCAGACCCCTCCCTGGTGTCCCATATGGGATGTAAGATACAGGGGTGGTTGGCAAGGTGGTTAGCGGCATTAAGCGTAGTAATGACTTGAATTTAAGATCCCAGTGATGTCGGTAATGGCTTCTGAAAGTAATAATTCGGGACAAGATATCATATTATGATCTCTTGCTCGAGATTGTTTTGGGAAATTTTCCTTGCTCATCACAGTACGTATGCATGTAATAACTGGTAAATTTAAGAAACTATCGCTTTTAACTGACCTACTTTTCTTTTACAGGCAACGATTACGAAAAATATATGAAGACAACAAGTATAATATTATTTGAAATCTGTAAACCATCCCACGTTAGGAAGGCATCTCCTGGCAGGCATCTGCGGTATTATTTTTTATCACTTCCTTTTTAATTTTTTTGTCGCTTACCATTTATCTGGCTGACATTCAATGTTCAGCAGGTTCACAGATGCTGTGATCTGAAAATCACGAGCGTTGCTTTTTTTTCTCTTTATCTTTTGTATGACAGAACTCATTTTGCTCCCCGCTGATACGCTTTCAAGGAAAGTCTAAACTGTTCTGTTTATTTTCATTGTGATGTCATGTTACTAGGTTTCTGTTTATTCTGTAGCGCGCGCAATAGAATGAGAAAGACTGACTGATCATCTCCTAAAAAGAAGAGACTATACTTTAAAATAACACGGAGAAAAAATATAAAACTACGCGTGTTTATCTTTATGAAAGTGATTCTTAATTTAATTTCACTTTATTATAAATTTTAGCTGATTTTATTGACATGGCTTTTCTCCACCCTTTTGGTTCGATTTCAAGTCAATCTAACTTTGTAGGGTCCTTAAAGTAAAAACGAAATCTTTTTAACGCACAAATCTGTACCAGTTACTAATCCAGTTCAAGGCCTGTGCACATTTCAAGTAAAACTTAAGGACAAAACCAAACTTATTTTAACTTCACCATGGTACCTACCACTGCCCTTTTGGTTCACACTCAATAGTCAATGAGGTAGCAGATGCTGAAATCAGGAAATCTCGCCGGGTAAATTTTCTTCGCTTAATCTTCTTCATCACGGAAGACATTTTTAGTTCCACTGAATGAACACACGAAGTCTCCAGTTTGCTTAATTTTATTTGTGACGTCAAATCACCATGGCATTTCGAACGCCCGTACAGGTTCTATTGCTCGCGTGATTTCCAAAAGACAGAAAATTCAGTTGTACGACGCCATTTTTGTCTAGAGGGGGAGGGTACAGTACTGTTCCCTCCCTGAATGCACCCATCAGAAGACAGGACAAGCAGACTCTTATCAGAGTCTGCGTATTAACCCTTTACGCCCCAATTCTCCGAGCTGATCTCTATACATTTTCAGTAAAGAATGTGTTGAAAGAATTTGATAAAAGATCAAGGCATTTTCTCTTAGGTGGTCATTTTTTTAATTCTCACAACCTAATCTCTTGATTATGTATGGACATTGTTAGGAGAAAATTGATGTTGATCACCATTAGGACTTAAAGGGTTAATACAGGTACGTTTTATTAGCTGACTACGCTTAAAAGATTCCTCCATATATAAGAAGTTCCTGGCTACGGCCCCCATATTTATTCATGAGACCGGATACTTACGAGTGACGAGAAAAATTAAAAGCTAACGGCAATAAATTGTAAAAAAAATAGAGGGGCTTGGTCTGTGGCGTTAAGCCTTCGGCTTTGACTTCTCAACCAGTTTAGAAACCCTCGTTGTTAGGGCAGATCGAGTGGGAAGGATACCGAGTGAAGACTGGGAGCAGTCGCCTCCCTTTGCAGATGCACAAAACTATGGCTTATATGACATAGTATTTTGAAAAACAAAGATGGCGGCTGCTTTGCACAGATTTCTTCTGCAAAAGACTCTGTTCTCGTCTGTAAAAATGTCTGCTGTCAGGGCAGCGATTCACACTTCATTATCACTTGCATCATCTCATGGAGATCCACTGGTTGGTGTTTTCATTTGTTTCTATTTTATTACTTGAAAAGAAAATGTGAAGTGAATGGATTGTGATGCTGGTTTATATTTTAAAGTTTACGCTCTGCCCCACCAAAATTAAAATGCTGCTCACTTCCCCACAATTCAATTTATTAGCATTGCATCCTATTTTTCAGGAACATTGGCGATTTAAGTGCGTAAAGAATTGATTTGGGATTGGGGTGCAAACAAATGCTAGGAGCTAGCTAGGAGTAATAGGGGTACCAGCATGTCGGTAGTTTTAATCAATCAACAACACTCACTGTCATTACCCTGTTTCTGAAGGGGCCGGATGTGTTGGTATTTTCAATGTTCTTGATTAGAGGTAAAACTTCAATTTTTCTGAAGGGTATGAATTCCTTACTTTTTTGAAAAATGGTGATCAAATTCCCCGGTATGTTGGCAGTCAAATCCCCCACCCACCACCGGCGACTTTTCAAAAGTTTACCCATTCGTCACACTGTTTATTCACATGGAAATATCCTACTAAGCACAACCGAAATTCTTAAGTCTCAGAAAACTGTCTTAAAGATGTTTGTTCAGTTCAATAAAACTGTTCATTTCAGAAAGCTTACATTTAACCCCATTTACTGGCTTTTCCAAAGGGTCTCTAATGCCCCAACAAAACAGTGAATATAGGAGTAATGACCCATGATCATGGTGCATATTATGCACAATGTGGAAAGAATTACAAAATCCTTCTGCTTGTGATGCTGACCAGAATTTTCACCCGAAAGTCCAATGCCCCACTGGACAAATTTCCAAATTTCCACTGTAAGGAGAAAAACTCCAGTCAAATGCCTGGGAATGCTTGGGGGTGGGGAGTGGGGATGGGTAATTTTGGAATTAACAGGTACATTACCCACTCCTTTTCAGGCTTTCCTGGTTCTTAGGGATAGTGATTTAATATGGTATACAGTTTATTAACAGAAGCATGAGCTGGTATACTTCCCTTTCTGACAAAATTACTTCTAAGAGGCCTGGTAATTCATTTTTCTCACCAACAGGTTTTTTTGTGCATAATTATAAGAAATGACCCTACCTCACTGGGAAAAGTTCACCGTGGAAAACTAGGAGGGGGTGGGGAGTGTCTCTAAAAGAAAAATATCATAACAGAAGTAAAAGGTGTAGTAGGAGTTTTTCTATGGTGGGGGAGGGTTGATTTGGATATTTTCTAGAAAAGGTGGAAATGAATAAGAGTGGGACTCATTGCAATAATAATGACAGTGTTTTTTGCTTTTGTTTTCTCAAGGGCACTAGACAACGGAGTCCATCATTAGAAGAGCATCAGAGGGAGCGCATGGCTCGTGGACTGCCTAAGAGGAAGTCTATACATGGTGTCAAACATGTTGTAGTGGTTGCTTCTGGCAAGGGAGGGGTGGGCAAGTCTACTACAGCAGGTCAAATAAACATTTCTACCTGTCACCATATATTTGCATTGTTTTAAAACTCAGTAAGATCAGTCTTCTGTCTCTAGGGTTGGAGAGATTGATTACAGTGGATACAAAATGACTTTTATAAAATGTGCACAGTATTTTTTTTGTTACTCTTACACACTGTTATTTGCCTGAATCTGTTGGACAAAATATTCTTTGTAAGAAATTCATAATAATATTAGGGAACTGATTTTTACTGGATTGTTTCAGATTATTTATTATGTTTTTAGCTTTTGGACTTTTTCTTGCTAGCATCAGACAATGGGTTATTTTTCTGTTATTTTTATATAACATTTTTCATTATAAAAAAAAAGACGAAAAAAAACTACAAACAGTACCAACAAAAAATAAATGAAAAACAAGTTCAAAAATAGGGATAAATAAGGGACAGTAAAAGCCATTGGAGGTAATGCAAGCGTTAGACCCATAATACAAGGCAAACCACCAAAAGAGGGAGCAAGGGTGGTGCAGTGGTGAGAGCACTCGCCTCCCACCAATGTGGCCACGGTTCAAATCCCAGCGTCAACGCCATATATGGGTTGAGTTTGTTGTTGGTTCTCTCCCTTGCTCTGAGAGGTTTTTCTCCGGGTACTCTGGTTTTCTCCTCTCCTTAAAAACCAACACTTCCAAATTCCAATTCAATCTGGAACGCACGGACACGTTTAAAAGTTCATATGAACTCTTAAGTGCTTCGTGGGTAAAAAAGCAATTTACAGTTTACAACTATGGTTGTGTGGAAGAATATGGGAATAGAAAGGTGAATACCCCCAAACCACACAGTTTAGACTAGGTTTTTTCAGTGCTGCTCTTCTGTATCGAAGAGCACAAATGACAAGAAAACTCTTTTATAAAAAAATAATTACATGTATCTGTCTTTTTTGTTTCAGTTAACTTGGCTTTAGGAATGCTGGCTAGTGGACAGGTTTGTACAACAATAAAATCAAAATTAATTTTCCTACAATGAAAATCATCGCAGAAGTGACAGGTTAATTATGTTGTGTTATTCCTGTCCTCCTAGTCTCTACGTGTTGGGCTCCTGGATGCTGATGTTTATGGTCCTTCAATACCAAAGATGATGAACTTGAGTGGAGAGCCAGAGCTGACAAAACGTTAGTTGCAGTTCAATGTTTAACAACCACTCAATGCTTTAGTCCCACAGCTTATATTTCGTAAAAGACTAATTATGCATGTCAGCTTATGTAAAGAGAAAGATGTAAATTCTTAGCAGTTCAGAATATTTCCATTTTGTTGATGTGGGTGTCAGTTTTGAAAGCTTTTGTTTCAACAAGCCTGACCATCCTGGATGAATGTGTATATAAATATAAATAAAATAATTAATGTGGTAAATCATACAGTTATATGTCTGATCTTTTAGTTGAATATACATCTTGTTAGATTAATATAAATTCTGCCTCTACAAGTAAAAGACATCTTTTATTCTCTTGGTAGAAAATCAGATGAGGCCTTTGGTAAATTTTGGTGTGCCTTGGTAAGGACAATGCTCCTTTCTAATTCAGTTACTTTAGGTAAACGATCAGACAGTGTTATAATTTCTTTAACTTAAACCTAACTTATCTGCTTATTTTCTATTCAACATTTCAGTTCCACTAAACATGACATAATTTGTTCATTCCTTTTATCCTAAACCACCAGCAACATGCCTTAGCGGTTTTTGTTTTATTAGAATATGGGCAAATCTCCTTGTATGTCTGTGTTATTGAGGTAGAAACTATATCAAGGGGTTTGGTTTTTGGGCCACCAGAACTGTCTGTAATTAAGATCAATATTCAGTATATTATTCTCCAGGGATGTCACTAAGATTTCAAGTTGCCAGGTAAAGACAACAAGTAGGCAGGGAATAAAACAGCTAAGGATTTCTTTTGGTTCTATTTTTCTTCTATAGACCTTTGTCACATGACGACCTTTTGTTTCAGGAGATTTAAAAAGCTTTGTTTATGCATGGCTAGCCTTGTTCTCTCTACGAGGCTAGCCATGCATAATCTCCTGAGACAAAATGGCCTCTGCGTGACAAAGGTCCATTTTCCTATGAAAGTAGCTGGGGCCATGTTTGTGGTAGTAGCAGGGAGAAATGCCTGGCCCCTGCCTCTAAATTTTATGACGGCCCTGATTCTCTAATGACACTTTCTGTTATTATAGCATTCTTATCCATAATGCAAGTATGGCAGTTTCAACACCATGGTGTTGCATTTGTGAAGCAGTGAATTAAAAAATTTGGTTTTATCAATTAGGTTGATAAAGTCAGTTTGCCTCCTTAAAAAGAATCAAAAGTGGATGGTTAGACTACTAGCCCTTGCATCAAAGGGAAATTGAATTTACTCTGTTAAAGGGATAGTCCTTATGGAACTTCAGCTTGGCAAATTTTCTTTCCTCTTGCTTTTATCAAAAACATTATCCAGATTTTTGTATTTGTCCCATGTGTAGTTTACAAATCAGCATCAATAAATACTGTACAAAAGCCTTTCTTAAAAGTATCTTTTTTGTTTTTGTTTGCTTCTTTTTTTGAAGTATGTCAATGGGATTTCTTGTGGAGGAAGGAGCTCCAATTGTGTGGCGAGGACTCATGGTAAGCTGAACCTTTAAATGATTGTGTTTTTTATTCCGCTCATGAATAAAGGAAAATTTAAATTTGCTTTTAGGGATTAAAACAACCTTGTTATGACCTTACTTTGATGGGTTCTGTTTCTCCTTTTTTCTTCTTGACCCCCTCCACAGGTCATGTCTGCTGTTGAAAAGCTTTTACGACAGGTGGCCTGGGGAGAACTAGATGTCTTAGTGATTGACATGCCGCCAGGCACTGGAGACACGCAGCTGTCTATCTCACAACAGATTCCTATTTCAGGTCAGCCAGTTGAAGAAACAACTTATCTGGTTACGAAAACAAAGCCTGAAAAAAATTGCCCATATCTTTCCAATAATAATATAGCATATTATGTTGAAATTAAAATAAAAACCTTTTTGTTGCCTTTAAATTTGGTCTTAAACCTAATAGTGATGTTTTGATGTTAGTGTAATGATAATGCTTTGTTGATGATTCTAGGTGCTGTTATAGTCACAACTCCTCAAGACATTGCACTGCTCGATGCTCGAAGGGGAGCTGAAATGTTTAGGAAAGTTCATGTGCCAGTAAGTTAATGCTTTATTGGGCACAAAAAAAATACTCTTGGAGAATATTGTGTCCCCAAATCTCAAGTTGTAAGCCCTTTCCATTCCCCAAAAATTAGCAGCCGTGATGTAGCCAGCTTGAAGATGCAACAGTTAATAACATGGCTTCTTCATCATCGATTCTTTCAGTGTTCTTCATATAGCAAGCATTCATCCCTGCCTCTCTTTTTTTCCTGTTTACACTGTAGCTAAAAAGCTTTTAATTACCTCCAGAAACATTTTTTGTGACAAAATAAAAGTACTGATTAAAACAGCGACGTTTTTGAACATTCAACTACGAGATGGGGTCAATGTGTTGAAGGGTAAATAAAAGACATTTAGCTTTGTATCTGAAAAGAACATTTCTCTACTTTTCTTCCTGAAGGTGCTTGGATTGATCCAAAACATGAGCCATTATGTGTGCCCCAAGTGTCAACACAAAGCATACATATTTGGACAAGATGGAGCTTGCAATGTTGCCAAAGAAATGGACATGGAGCTCTTGGGTATGTTTATACATGAGCTTCGCTGTTTTATATGGGAACATGGTGGCTTAGCAGTTAACACCTCAAACTTTGAGCCTTTAGGTCCTGGTTCAAGTCCTGTTATTGACTGATGTTCCAATTTGGTGCTTCATGCGACAGAAACTGGGTTAAGCTCTAACCTTATGAGTCTGATGGCTCTTGGGTGCTTTTACCAGCCTTAGTGGTAGTTTATATTACCACAATGACTTAATTATCTGAAAATAAATGAAATTCAATAACTAAACTAAAACAGGAATAAAATATAAATCTATATCTGGTGCAACCAGTTTTCCCAAGAAGAATGATGAACAAATTAGAAAGGAATGTTGATTGTAGAAACCTCAAATGCTTCCAGAGCCTTATTGGTTTGAACATGTATACCAAAACCAAAAAATGATACCCTCTTTCCAAATGCAAAACCTCATGTCTGACATCAGCTTTGAATGGTTACTTGTTAATTGCTATGAACAATGTTTTTTTGTGCTAAACTCCATTCACATTGAAAAGACAAGAATCACAACGCTGTACATGTTCTTTTGTGTCAAACAGAACCTATTAATGACACCGTATGTTCTGGGTTGCTTTATGTTTTTGTAGGTGATATTCCTCTCCATATTGACATAAGAGAAACAGCAGATTCAGGAAAACCCATTGTAGTTTCTCAGCCAGACTGTCTGCAGGTACAGTGTACTACACCTGATATTGTTTTAAAACAGCACCAAGCAAATTCTTAACTCCATTATTAAAGAGAGAAACAAGACTAAAGGAACATAGGATTAAAGAAACATAACCAATTCTCCATTGTCTTTTCTGAAACAGAGTAAAGCTTATAAGACCATTGCAAGTCGCATCTTGGAAAAGCTTCCCCTGTAAAAGAGGTATCAACTTTGAAGCGATATACTGGTTAGTATTCAGCTGCTGTTCAGCAGTAAGTGACTGTAATGTCCTAAACAGTCTCGTTCCACCATTATCATTACTTCATGCCAACAAAGCAAGTGGTGAATAGGATGGGAAAAATTGAGGATTGACTTGAAGGCAAGATGCAAAACCAACATTGTTGAAAAGAAGTTCATAAATTCCAAAAATCCTAAGCTAAGTAATAGGACAGGAAACATGGTGCTCTAACAAAATCCTAAAGACAAAGCACAGTCCTGGGAAATAAAGAAATTTTCAACTACAGAAGATCTCAACAAAAATACATGACATTTAGGTTTATGGCAAAAAGCTTCAAACCACATATGGAAAAAAGTTTTGGTCATTCATTATTTCAGATGTAATAGTGTAATACTGTACATGATAATAATAATAATAATAATAATAAGTAATGGTAACAGGACTGAGTGGAGTCCAATTCGGTCTGTAATAATATGAGTGATTAACAAAATCGATTTGTTTAATCATAACTTCAACAAAATTTGTGATGTAATAGGCTATTTTTTAAATCAAAACACAAGAAATTCGAAATTTTGTTTTGCTAGCAGTGAAAAAAAAAAGCCATTTAAGCACACGCGTGATGGCGCGTACTGTCCAATTACTTAGGCATGACGCATACTGTCCTATTAAACTGTCCAATTAAGGCTGAAATCAGGGCAGTTGATAGCCAATCAGATTTGACAATTTTGTTATAGTTATGATGAATAATAATAATAATAATAATAATAGTAATAATAACAACATTAAAAACAATGATAATAATAGACCATTTCTTTGTCTCATGGTGTAACCATTTAATATTTTTTATTTATGTTATGTACATGCACCAGAAAAGAATGTAGATAATTTGCTTTACACTGTCCTTGGAAATGTCTTGATAAGATGAAAGAATGTTTATATTGTTACCTTTTAAAGTGTTTTAGGACAATGAGCTATTATCAACAAAAGACTTTTTTACTTGTATTAAAAATAATGTGCAAACTGCCAGCAGATGACCACAGGCCTTTTACAACCTGCTTGGTCTAACTAGAAGATGGCTGGCAAAATTTTTCTGTTAGGGGGTGTTTACATGACACCAGGGTGACTTTGGTGCTGTCAGGAATTTACTCTGGTATCAGCTTCCCTCTTGTGGCTCTGTGTTTGTTTACATGATACCACCACAAAATGTCATGCTGGCACGAGTTCAGCCCGGTTGTAAAATCATTCTGCTGATAGACCGAAACGGGTAGCACATGCATGCATAATTATTGTCAGTCCACGGTGGCATCGTCATGTTGGTCAAGAAACGACAAAAAAGCATGAAAACATTTAAACGCCATAAAAATCAAGAGGTCACCCCAGTAAGAAACTAGTGCCAGTGCGGGTTTTCTCACATAAACACCCCCTTCGTAAAGGATATTGTTTTCATTAATACATTGCTCTACAATCAGTACAATGGTGTGTTTTGTTGTTGAACTGTCTTCTGCTGTTACCAAAAGCACCACTTTACTTGGGTTTAGTCTCAGCATCTGAAACCCTCCGTATGTAAATAGCATCTTCAGGATGTCTAATGATGAAACAAATAAAATGAAATAGAAAGTATTATGTATTTCTTGTAGCCTTTTCTCACATCAATACCTTTAAGGGGGAACAAGTGCACCTTTCCTAAGCACTGCCTCTAACCCTGATATCAATAGCACATGGGGTCAATTTAATAAAACTTTTACTAGTGTCATTTACAAGGGTAGCCTTAGGTTCAGTCTTAAAACAGTAGCTACACTTGTTAACATGTTATTAAATTGACCCCTAGTTTATCAAGGTTATCAAGATCCCGAATACAGTTGGTAGTGTTGTTGTAAATTCTTAACTTGTACTGAAACCTCACTCTGCTGATCTACAATCAATGAAAAAATTGTTGAGAAATTGTTAAGTAAGTAAAACATCAAAAAGCCCCTTTCCGGCTTAGTGCCTTAACTAATTTTGTCGCCGATTGTAGCTAGTTTACAGGCACAAAACAACTAGTGCAAATGAAACATAACAGGATTTAGAACTCCAACAAGCAAGAGGGCTGGAAAAAAGTCACATCTGGTAGTCTACAACAAATAGATTTTCTTGCTGGGCAAGGAAGTACCCCCAAAGCATGACCAATGGAAATGAAACCTCTTTCACATGGCAAATTGCAGAAGAACTGTTATCAATGCGCTCTCTTGGGCTAGTACATGCTAGCTACAAAACCAAAAAAACTGACTTTCTTTGCACCCTGATTTTTGCAGGATTTTAGACAATAAGGTTTACAAATCCTAATTTTCTTAACTCCTGGGAGTGATTGAAGACTTACTCTTTTGCATCCTCCTCATACATGTATGATGAAGCTATGGCCAACAAACTGCCATCATTACTAAAGCTCAATGATGCTATACTTGTTGGGTAACGATGGAACTGAAAAAAAGGAAGGGAAATATCAGTTCCTGCACCCAGATTTACAAGGCGTTCCTGAGTATTAAGTGCATGATCTGGCTTATATAAAATAATTTGCAAGAATGTTGAAGTAATAATGTTAGTGCTGTACCTGACAGAGTCTTTTCTTGTTGAAGCCATCCCAGATGTTTACAAAGCCATCTGATCCACCAGTGGCAAATGTGTTGTGTCTGAAATTATTCCAAGTAACAAATAATTAATGTAAAGAAAGAAAATTGTTTTTACGCTTGAATTCACCAGTCAAAAATGAAAAACTGGTCAAGGGCAAACCAAAGCATGACTAAGAGTAAAGGCAAAGCCTCACAAAAACTTAATTTTGAAAGTTTTTGTTGTTAAGTCAAATGCAAGAAAATTCAAGAGTTTTATTGGAGCAACTCCCCACAAATATGATAGGTTTCCAATTTCTTTGGCAATGGAGGCTCTGATGTGCACATGGAAACTCTGCGATAGATTTTTATTTACTCACACATTATGGAAGGATATCGCATTGACAGGGTAAATGTTTTCCATCCCCTCCTCTTTGATTCTGTGACACTTGAAAGCATATTTCTTTTTCTGTACTTCAGGGCTTGGATCAAAGTATTCAACGGCTACTCTGCCTTCAATGGAGCTCAACACATAGCCTAAGGATTTTGACGCAAGAAAGAATTTACCATCAGACAAATGCATATTAAAAGAGTGAACTTTAAGAAATTCAATTTAGCTCTTTATGAAATGCATCTAAACTTCATGGCAGTTCAGTAAGACTAATGTGAAACACTATTGTTTTTTTTAAACACTATCCAATGATCTATAACATATCATCATATACAATATCATCCCCCAGATCCAATATAAGCAATTCACATATATTGTATTCATTACTTCATCTTTATCTTTCCCTAGAGTATAATTATGAACCAATATAATGACCACCTCCCAGTTGGTTTATTAGCTCAATTGGTTAGGGGTGCTGCACCAGGATCGCAGAAGTCAGGGTTTGAATCCTGGCAAGCCTGATTTTTTTCAGGCTTTCGTTTCCCAACTGCTTAAGTTACATATTCAGCTGTGATGATCGTTACATTTATTAGGTCCATAACATTGTCATACGAGTCCACAACTGGAAAATACTCATGTTTATTGTATTTTAATTGTTAACAAAAAATTGCAATCTTTTTACTGTAATAGATTATTCACCATTAACAATTTCATTATTAATTTGTTCAATCAATCACTGATTATGATATTGATTCTTAGTTTTCCCCCTGACTGAAACCTTGTTCTATAATCTTGTTATGATATTCACTGACCTTGTTTGTTGGGAAATGTTCTAATGCATCTTGTTTGGTATTTTAAACTAGATTCTCTCCTCTGTTGTACACATCCCTACATGAGAATAATTAACACCATATGAGGTATGACTTAAGTACTGTAAATTTACAAGTTATTGTAGCACTGGGAAGTAAGTTACAGCCTTCTCACAAATATGGGCTTCTTGAATGGACAGGGATGAGACTGTGGTACGTCTTGAGGGTTAAAAAACTGAGTCTTACTAAATAGCACAACAATAGCAAAAACTTTTGGGCACCAGAAAAATAATGAAATTACTGCTTTTGTCTTAACTCTGAATAAAGAATGCCATGGCACCTATGTAAGACCTTGCCAGCCAAAAACAACGGGAAAGTTTAAAAAACTGTTAATTCTTACATTTCCTGATTCTTTTCTGCTTACATATCAAAACAGCGAAGTATCAGTAGAACAGTTCTTACCATGTTCCTGAGATCCCACACCATCACTCTCCGTCCTGCCTGCAATAATACAAAATTATGACAACAACATACGGAAATCTAATCAAACAATCAAAAAAGGAAAACATAGAAACACAAGTAACAAAGTACAAGTATACTTCAATAAAAAATAATATTCCTTACTGTTCCAACAACAAGTCGCTCATCAGATGTTGCCATTGTGTAGACCTACAAAACAGCACATTATTAGTTCCTGACAAAAAGAAATTAAAACTGAGGAGAGTTTGTTAAGGACAATAATATTAAAACAGTTATATGTTTTGAAGAAATGAGAAGCTACATGTACAACATCCTGAGATATCCAGAGCAATTAGCTGATGGGGAAACAGGCAAATTGCATTGGTGTGGGCAAAGTTCATCTAATGATCAGAAGAGTTGTTGGGCACCCACTCATTTGAAAAAAAAAAACCAGCCCAAAAATGATTGATTTGCCTGCTTCTGATTTTAACGACCAATCAAAAGAAGGGAATTCAAATGCTTCCAGAAGTAACAATTTCACTTGTAAATAATCTGTCCCAATAATGACATGTAGTGAATGAAATATGACCCTACAGCTGTAAGTGACTCTTGATCTAATGAGAATTTCTTGTTTAGTTTCAAACAAAAATACAAGGACATTTGCATGGAAAATTAAGCAGTCAATCAGAAGTCACTTGGGCTTTTGTCTTGGTACTCAATACTTCATTATTAGTTAACTGCCCTGCCGGGTTCTCCCTGGATGCAGCTTGAACAACACAATAAAATAGAAAATGATTACCGGTACTTTCCGGAGACTAAAACTCAAGGATCGTTTTTAATACCTTTTCAGGTTGTTGATATGTTCCTGTACACTGATTTGCCCTTGGATCCCACAGTTTGATATTTTTGTCCCAACTGCCTGTAACAATCACACCTAGAAATCACAGTAACAAGTACAATGTAATAATAATAATAATAATACTTTAATTATCCTCTCGCACTTAAGGCCTAGAGGCTTTTCAGGGATAATGAAACAAATAATTTCAATGGAACATAATGGTGTTAAAAATCCCAACTGGTACATGTAGGAGGTGAACCAGTTGGCTATCTTACAAGTGTGGCAAGGATTTGAACTAGGGACCCGGCTAGAAGCCAGGGCAGGATTAGAACTCAGAGCCTCTGAATTAGAAGTCCAGCACTCTAACCGCTCTGCCATGCTGTAGTTCATTTTTAGGAAATTAAAAAAAAAACGTGCAGGCTCTTGTGATTGTCTGGGGAAGCTCTGTCCTCACAAAGGCTGTCAATTTAGTTCACACTGAGCAGAAACTGTCTCACAACAACACTTCAAAAAACAATTAAACTTCAGCTGGTACTTGGGACAAGACTTGCCTGGGTTCTTGTCCATTCAGTGAGAGATCAAGGAAAGTTCCTTGCACAGAATCAAAATTTACTTGTCTCAGACTACCTTGCAAGACTTTTTTCAAACCACATGTATACCTTCCCCAATCTACTGCAGAGCTGTGCTTAGCCTTTGATATAAGCCCCTCCATTTTATAAGCCACCCAAAACCCCTCATGAAGATGTATAAGCCCAGGGTTTATAATCGCAGTTTAGGGTATTACATAAGGCACTAAACAAACCTCATTTCATAATTATTTTGTTAGGTCTTACCAATAGCAGGGCAGAATTCTACACATTTTATTGGTGCCTCATGCATTCCTACTACTTGCTCAGTTGAAGTGTTAAAGTCCATCCTGAACAAAACACAATAGGATTAATCAACATTCTATTTGATATTACAAGACAGGAAGTCATACAATGTTATTTTAAATTAATTTCTTTTCTTATCTTTGTACAAAGATTACCGTTTTAACAGTTATTTGAAATGGTAATCACAGTTTATACATGTAACAGTCTCCTCCAAGTTTTGAAATGTTAGCTTATCGTGCATGAAATAATTATTGATCCACACACATATAACGTCGAAAGCGATGGTAGGCACATACAACATTGAAAATGCTGCTGTTGCTAAACAGTGTACCTTACAGAAATACAACTGAAATTTTAAAGGCTTGTTTATAGTGGAATTTGAACTTAGCTTATCCAGCTAGTTTACAGGCACTCCACTCAGATATTTAGAAACAAATCATTCAAATCCAACGTAACAGGATTAAAAACCCCAACTGGCAGAAGGCAAGTAGTTGGCTATTTACAAGTGTGGCCAAGGATTTGAACTCGCGATGACTGAGAACAAATCCAGCAAGTGACCAGAGCAGGACTTGAACCTGGGAACACTGGATTGCAAGTGTGATGCACTGACCACTTAGCCACGCTGCCTCCCATTTTGCAGCAACATACACTGTAGAATGCGCCTTTGTTTTCTAGGTTTTAGCATTTCTGGCAGGTAAGTGAAGTCAAAAGGTTGGTGCTAGATTTTCTCTCATCTGACGACTCGTACATTATAAAATCAACTCACACTTTGAGGGTACTGTCTAGACCACCACTGTATGAATGTACACCATCTTGGAAACAGCAGTCTAGGGCAGCATTAGCGTGATTGTACTTCAGTCGCATGTTATTATTCTGAACATCATAAAGTCTAACTGACTGTTGAAAGAACAAAAAAATCAAGAGTATCAAAGTTGACTCTTTATTAATGGACATCTCTATAGGACAGACTCCTCTATAAAAGAGACACCCAGATTTGGTCCTTACACTTCTTTACTTCTTTTATTTGACTCTCTATAAGAGGGACACTTAATGGATTTAGTGCTGGCCACAAAGATGTCCAATTTTGGAGCCTGAACAGTGGTAAATTTTCTGACAGCCCTGCACATTTATCATGCGTACAATTTTTGACTCTATTCATATTGACTATTTTTATGAAATATTATAAGCTTACTGCATGCATGATCAATGTAGGAGCTATACAGAAATCTTTCTGCTTTCTGTTAAGCTTTGAGGCATGGCATAGCTAAAGAATACAGGTCAACTTTCTTAGAATTATAAATTGCAAGGCACTCAGCAGCTCATTAGTGAAAATAGAGGCTCAGCGGCTCGCCAGTCCTGACGGAAGAGCCACCAAGCCACTAAATCATAAACATGTACCCCTCTTGTTTTATAACTCTAACTGGACTGAAGAGTCACTAAAATATACGCCTTGATTGTTCTTTAAAGCTTATGCCTCTCAATATACTTATATACCTTGCATACTACTTGCTAACAAAATTTGTATCTTTTTCGTCCTTTCTACACTCAGCATGATTAGCGAGGCACCGAGCCACTGCTGTCGAGGCCTCACAAAATGAAGCAACGTGGCTCTGTATTCTGTAGCCGCTGCATTTTCTTTTATGTCAGTCAAATCGTTAGTGTCACAGGATTCCCATTATATTGCTCAAATTATACTCGAAAAAGCGTCTTTCCGCCGGCAGAACTTAACTTTACCTAAGCCTATAATATTAAAGTCATCAAATTTCTGTATTGTGACCGACTTTAGAATAGTTTTCCCTCGAAATTCAAACATAGTTGATTGAAATAAAAGAAGCTTACTGTATCCCATGATGATACCACTAAAAATGATGCTGATGTAGGGCTGAATTTGACGGAAGAAATTCCATCTGAGGGAGGTTGTTCAAGTTGAAATTCGTTGGGTCCGTCCGCCATTTTGTAAAGTGTGCGCGCGTTATCCTTACAAGGCATTATGGGAGTCTTCCCAGTCTCTCACGTTTTTCAATCTTCTGGCTTTTTTGATCAGCGGATATTACGACAAGGTTGTTCTTCATATAATGCCACTCAATGATACCTCACTGAACACTTGCTCTTGGGCAATATGCCCAAATAGACGAAACGGCAATGATAGAGTTCATTATTATTTTTTGCCGATTTGAGGTAAGGCTTTCCAGTTTTTATATAGAGTTGTGTGATCTTTAAACCTTTTATACTCGAGATATCTAGACTGTCACGAGATTCCCGTTATCTAGGGATTGAGCGTTAACTGTAGACTAATACCAAGTATAATTTGTTGCCACGTTGTATAACTGGCGGAATACTGGTTTCTCAATTAGTGATATTGGCTCAGTCAGTTGCAAGCATGCCCGTCCCTTCCTTGCCGGGCATTTGCCATTTTTTCTTTCAAATGGCCTGCGGATGTCCCAAGGTGGGGCCAGCAGATCTGACCATGGGGCGTAAAACAAGTGGACGAAAGCCCCACCCTGGACGAGGCAAAAAGCACATTTCGTTGAAAGAGGTATTGAAAATTCAAACAGTGTGTAAATGAATGAAACAGGTTAACTTCACTAGTAAGACTACAAACACAACATCAAAGCTTTTAAATGTAATAAAAATCAACTACCTGTACAATATAATAGAAAGTAATTTATTATAGTTACCTGAGATTTTTCAGATGGCCCTTTAAGAAGAACTTTGTCTGATGGCAGTAACTCTTGAAAGGCCATGTCACATTTAGTGTTAAAGGCCCTATTAACAGGGTGAAATTATATAGAATTTTACTGCTTGGCCATTGGCTGTATTAAGAGGTGACTGCATTAAAAGGGAATTTTTATAAGGAAATGTACATAGCCATTTTTCTGGGCCCAAAAAATTGGTCACCCTATTATCGAGGTGGCCGTAAGGTAGGGTTCTGCTGAAATTGAAATAAATAAATGTATGAAATATAAGTAAATAAGTAAAATAATTAATTATAATAATGATAATAATAAACTGATTAATCTAATCTAAGTGCCTTCTGAAATCATGGACTTTTTTTCTATATCTACAACACTGCTAGGCAATTCTTCGATGGTTCTGCAATAAAACGAATTTCTATAGGCTTCAGTCTTTGGTGTTAATTCAATGAACTTGTCACTGTGGAAGGATCATAGTTGGTGATTGCACCTTTTTGATGTAGCTTGGGATTTCTAATCATGATTCACCGTGGATGGCATCAAGAAATAGTGTGAGGCAAGCAATTTTCTTATATCTTGGAGAGGGGGTCAATCCTAGTCATTAAGTAAGTTTGTGACAGTTACAGGTGTTTGCTTCCAACAACAACAACAACAACAATGTATTTATTAACAGAACTATAAAGTTCACAATACTTTATGCCCCACAAATAGCTATTATGCTAATCTAGGCAGGACAGGCAGATTGCTGTTTGACAGCTTCTATTTGCTTTATATGCTTGTCCTTGTCCATCCAGGGGTTTCTCACTCTTTGACAGTTTGTTGTTTACTGTTTGCCTTAAGATGCTTAATTTTTTGATATCAACAATTTTATCATTATGAGATCAGGTCAGGGTTCAAATGTTGCCTTTCCTTGGCAGATATCAGGAGACAGCTTCCCTGGCCCTAGTCCATTTAGCCTGTGTGGCTGGTGTTAAAAGGGGAAGGGGAAGGGGAAGGGGGAATTTGGGCACACGAGCCGGCTATGCAGGCTACTGTCCATTGGGCAATTAGCATAAAAATGTTCCCAATAATGATAGAATGATATTATTGATCATTATTGTGACAAAGTACAACCTGTATTTTCAATTCTCTTTCTGCTTACAGAGAATTTGTTTATTTTCTTATTTTAGACTCAAGAATGCTTATTAGCTTGAGGAGGAAATTTTTCTATGCAGTTACACTGATAACTGTAGCCTTGTTTGTGGTTTCCTTGTGGTCTGTATATCGTGATGAGGTTGGTTTGCTAACAGCTTTGTAAGCTTAAAAAAGTGTTATAATACTGTATGGTTTTAACAGTTGCAAATACATCCTGGATATCTGTTGAACTGAAGGTGCTAAATATGCTAGTAGTCCATCATTAGAAACATTAAGTAATCCTCCAGACTGATCTCAATACATTTCCTTAAACAATAAGTTGAGAGAATTTGGTACTGTACAGCCCCCGGAATGATCCCCAACCCTGAAATGATCCCCAAATCGACCCTGAAATGATACCGACCCTGAAATGATCCCCATTTCTCCTCACGTCGACCCCGAAATGACCCCCATTTAATTTTAGGAATGGAATGATATCCTAGAACTATGGATTGTGCAAAATGCACAACAATATAACTTAAGCTTTGGGATTACACTTTGAACTGGATTAAACGCCGGAAAATATTATTATCAAAAAAATACGCAAATTCTAGTATATTTTTAGGAACACCATGAACTGCAACTGATAATATCAAGAAACATAACATTTTTTAAGTTATCACTTAGGTGATTATAGCCCGGGTTATAGAGAAAACTGCATAGATGTTGAATTCTAAAAATGTTGTTAAAACTGCATGCCGTGGAGATTGAATTTTAAAAACGGTGTTTCAACACTTTTTAAAATCTTAAAATGATGTTGAAGATGCAAAAGTATACATAAAGGCGATTAGATGACAAAAGTGCTAAAAAATCACATCCACTGACTAGCAAAATGTTTAATTAAGGTAAAAAAAAAACACTGCAAATACCATGTACGATCAATCTTGCTCAACGTCGGATCCAAAAAGATCGTGATCAGTCAAAATAGATCAAATTGAAAACGTTACAGTCAAGAAGACTTTAGCAGGTTTCAGTCTAAGTCTTGGGTTTGTTTGTAAGTGCGTCAATGCGAAGAATGTCGGAAGCTCATTGTATTTGGATCTTAAGGAAGGTTTTGTCGTAGCCGCGAATAAACTTTTCATTCTACAGGTGAGACCCACCACATCAAATCTCATATCACTTGTGAAACTTTTAAAGTTATCTATTTGATTCAATGTCGCCTGTGTAATCTACAATATATTGGAGAAACTAAACATCGCCTCAAAGACCGTTTTAATGAACACAGACGACCTATACTCAACCCTACTGGTAATTACATCCATACTGCAGTTTCAGAACACTTTCTAACCAGTAATCATTCCAACAGTCATATGCTTTTGACTCCTATTGAAAAACGTAAAAATGGGCGTGATTCTTTCAGGAAAGCACGTGAAGCCCACCTTATCCATAAAGCTACGACAATTGAGCCTCTGGGCATCAATAAATGTGATGAACTGTAACTATACATAGTATATCTTTTATTTTTTTGTTATCTTGTCTTTTAAAGTAGCCACCATACCACGTCATATTATGTAATTTCCGGTCATAATTTTACTTCATATATATTTCTGTGAATTCGTGATATCTCAATTAACCTGATGAAGACTGGTATTGGCCAGTCGAAATATCGCAACTAAACTCTATTTCACTTTGTTTGATCAGTCGCTGCTAAAGTCTTCTTGACTCAGACTCATACCCATTCGCTATTTAAGTATTTTTTGGGATGAGAGACGATTGGGGATTAGGTTGAGGTGCGCGCGGGGTCTCATGGGAAGGGAAGAAGGAAAAATACTGTTCTTGACTGTAACGTTTTCAATTTGTAGCGAAATGTTAAACGTGATTTAAGAACGTAAACGCTGCAACAGATTTGTAACAATTCCGTGACGGAATACAAGTTTCATTCCAAGAATTAATTGGGGATCATTTCGGGGTCGACGTGAAGAGAAATGGGGATCATTTCGGGGTCGATTTGGGGATCATTTCAGGGTTAGGGATCATTTCGGGGTTGGGATCATTTTGGGGGCTGTACAGTACTCTTTTTATAACCTCTCTACATTGGCCATCTACCTGTACCACACCATATATTAAAATTCCTACGAGTACTTCCAGTAATGTTTGAAAATTTGCTGCTATGAAAACCAGTGACACTTTCCGCAAATGCTGGTGTCATGGAACCAGGAGCATGTATATTCACATTTTGTTTTATTCTTGCTTGCAGGTCGATAAATGGGACAGTTGTGAGAAAGTGATTTTGCAAAATTCCTTTTCAAATCTGTTGAGAATATTTCTGAATCCTGACCATAAAAATCATAAGACTGACCAAGACATCTTGGACACATATGGCAGTAGACAATGTCATGAAATTCTACGACATGACTTTCCGCACCCTATTGCCACATCAATAGAAATTGAATTTCCAATTGCGTATGGAATACTTGTATATAAAGGTGGGCCTCTTCTTGAACAGTTACTCAAAGCAATATATATGCCACATAATGCCTATTGCCTTCATGTTGATGTGAAGGCCTCTGAAACTTTCGAACAGGCTGTTAAATCAATGACCAGGTGCCTAAGCAATGTCTTTATCACGAAAGAAACTGTGGATGTGATATGGGCTCATATTAGCATCATTCAAGCGCAGTTAAATTGCATGGAAGATTTATTGGAAAGTTCCATTAAATGGAAATATTTTATAAATTTAGTGGGACAAGATTTTCCTTTGTATGACAATAATGGCATTGTAACTGCATTGCAGACACTTCAAGGAAAAAACAATATTGAAAGTTTTCCTATGCCTGAGCGTAATAACTACCGCACACAATTTGTTCATCGCTTTGAAAAGACAGGTGAATTTTCCCACGATTACAGAAGAATACAAACATCACTTAGAAAAGAACCACCACCATATGGACTTAAACTTTTCAAAGGCTCAAATCATGTGGCCTTGACAAGAAATTTTGTACAATTCATCTTGTATGAAACAAAAGCCAAAGAATTTTTTAACTGGCTAAATGACACTTTTATTCCTGATGAAGCATTCTATGCTACTCTTCAACAAATTCCCGATGTTCCTGGTGGTATCCATGGAAACCACAGCTGGATTATGAGGAGACTGATGTGGTTTAATGATGTTTGCTATGGACAAATTGTAAGAGAAATCTGCTGGCTCAGTGTGGCTGACTTAAGATGGGCTTTAAGTAAGCAGGAAAGTAAATGGCTATTTATACAGAAAATCCCATTTGATTATGATAAAAGGTTATTAAAATGCTTAAGAATGGCAATAACAGGAAGGGAGTATGGACAGGGTTACTTTCCTTGAAAAGGACACAACTTGATGAACACTTTACAATTTATTTCAAATTCGTTTAAACCCTCGTTGTTCTTTTCTAAACACGTTTTGGTGCTCATAGGAATCAGAGCAGTTATTTTAGACCTGATTCTAGTAGACATAAATCTGCTGGGGCAAATTGATCCTGTTGACTAAAAAATATTACTATTATTACTTATGAGGAAAGCATCGAAGATCACCGTATAGCTAACTTTAGTGATGAGAAAGTAATGTACAAAAGGAGATGTTCGTAGACAGCCAAGTGTTCTCAATAGAGAAATTAATGAGAAGAAAGGATTACTTTGTCCTCGTAGAATTTCTGTCTTGAAGAAAATATTAGATTATGGATTTTTAAGCTGCTTCCTACTAGTACCTGTAATTAAAAATTCTGTTTTATCATCGTTTAACATAAGATTAACTGAAATCATCCAACTCCTATTATCACTGATACAGTCAGTCATAGACTTGATGGTAAAATCAGCATCTGCAGATTGACTGGGGCTGAATGATACATACAACTGTGTATCGTCCGCGTAGCAGCGAACTTGTGGGAGGTGGCGTTCAACGATCTGAAACAGTTTGCACGTGTAGATAGTGAAAAGCAAGGGGCCCAAACATGATGATGACCGATGATCAAACCTTTTAATTTTTAAGGCTTACTTCCTGGCAATTGTAAAAAGTGAAAGAGAAATAGCAAAAAATTCCAACTTCTAATTAAATCTTTTCTTATGGTTGAGAGCAAAATATTCTCGAAACTGAGAGTGTTTTCAGATCAAAGCTGTGTAAATCGAACTGAAACAGTGCGTGGAACCTTGCGTTAACTGTTTTTTTACTCTCACCTATTGTATGGAATATGTGTGAAAATCTTCATTATGAACGACCAAGAATACCATTGACCGACAATATGCAGAGCGGGGGCACATAGGCGTACGGGCCGGGGGGGCGAGGGGGGCTACAGCCCCTCCCAAAGTTTGGGCAACTCAGATTTTTTGGGCAGCAAAAGAAAATTTGGGCAAAGCCAGTTTTTAAAGACGTTTCCATGTTTTTTATTATTATTATTATTTTGAAGAGATAAATATTTTCTATTTTAACCAGAAGTCGGCGTAATAATTCAGTTACGTTCACACGAGACAGTGGTTGCCTAGCCACAAATGTCCAGTGCTGGCCACAAGATCCCTACTTTCCTTTTTCATCCTTAGTTCCACACTTCTCAGAGGTGTGGAAGTGTTGAAAAGTCTGACAAAGTAAGGATATTGTCGCACTTTTCCCACAGGCACATCAGCAATGGGTCTGAAAGTGAAGTGGCCGACTAATTCTCAGTTTGAATTGCGAGAAGAATCATAATTTTTAAAAAAAATCTATCGAGCGGTGTAAAAATTATTCACTAATTTGTTTAAGTAGACCGAATGTTTACAAAACCCTTAACAAGATCGAGCGCTAATCAAATCCTTCCTTATAGCAATTGGCAGGAGCTATCTCCATGATCTTTCACACACGTTTTTAAAAAGATTGAAACTACTATGAGGTGAAATTGCGCTCCGTTTTCTTCAGATTACGACTAAACATCAAGATTTTCCTTTTTTACCTTATTTCTAACAATAAAAACTTCATCCCAAAATATCTCGATAACGCTCTTACAGTTCCGTTTTAACTTCACGAACATCGAGGCGCCTATTGGAGGAAAGAGCTCCCTCCCCTGAACGATTTTGTAAGAACAGTTCCCAGTGAGAAATATTGCTCCAAGTATAATAGATATGGCGTAATTTTGTAACTATGACAGCTCCGATGTCATTGCAACCCTGATCATGACAAATTTCCCTCTTTATCTAATACAACTGTGGAGGCAATTTTTTCCAAATGCTTGTTTGTGGCGACATAGTTTCTGCTCAAACTTGGCAGATATTGACTCTGAAAAACTGTATCGAGCCACTTTCATATGCCAGTACGGCCTATTTTGTTGCATGGCCCTAGTTTCCTTTCGACTGGTTTGTAAAAATTTGGGCAACTTGCAAGAATTTTTTGGGCAAATGGATTACCGCCCCCCCTGGCAAAAAATTGCCCGTACGCCTATGCGGGGGCAGCTGTAGTGTCGACTATTACTAGTATATCATTTAACAATATAAACATCATACGTGAAATACTACAAGGGCTGAAAGCTGGTAGTGACCAGCCAAATTTTGTATCTACGCCCTTGCGTAGTTTATGAGTTTTACATTAACCCAACAATGGACAAAGACATTTTGTATTTTGTTACAATGTTCTTTAGGTATTGATGTTATAGAAAACTTTCATTACATGAATGGAGTAAATAAAATGAATTGAAAAAAAACATATATTTCTTCGTGTGCAACCCTAAAAGAAGCCTGTACGGCTGAATATAATGGCGTTTTGCGAAGAACACCATAAGTGAGACCAAAAGTCGAAATTTGCTCCCCTAAGTGATACGACAAGCATCCTAGCCCCTTTCATATGGGAGTCCCCCGGGCTATATCAACCCTAGCCTGAGAAACGAGCTGACATTTCACGATGCCACCATTTGATTCCCTGCAGAAATTCCAGACTGATGGTGCTAGTGCTTCGAACTGGTTGACAATTTGCTTCATCCAATTAGAAGCACTACACAGATCTTGGTGGTGATACATCATCAGTATGGAATTTCTGCAGACATTCATCAGACATTGGTTTTTTTACCATTTACTAAACGTTTCTGGAAAACCCAGTCGGAGAGTAAGTGGAACACGACTTTTTGGGTCTTTTCAGCAGAAATTTGCCGGGAGCAATGGAACATCTAAAACGTTTGTCCTGTTTCTCTGAAGGGAATATTTAGTCGAGCTTGCTTTAGCAGAGCGAGACTCTAAAAATGCGGTTGTTTCTTTTTTGTCGGTGGAACCGAGTTTGTAGGCCACGCGTTCCTAGCGAAGACCGTGGAAACTGGGATAAGAATCGTGGCGATGCTCGTGATGAGCATGCGGTATATTTTCGGCGATGACTGAAATGACGCATGTAAGTTTGGCAATGATGTAATTTTCCTCGAATGGAGGCCCTTGATTTTCGTGTAATGGTGCACGACAAGCAGGCACTTTAAAAAGGAAATATCCCCAAGTAGGATGAGAAAATATTATAGCGGGGAAGTCCTATTTCTTGAATTCCCCGCACCCCAAAAAAACTGACAACCATAATGCGGTGCGGGATAAGCAGACAATTCTTAGCCCATTTATTGAACTAACCAACTAATCGCAAAAACAACTGTTTACACTGCTTAGACACCAAAAAATCACACAAACTGTATACGTTTGATCCGGCCAAAGTAAATGAATAAACAAAACCACTTCAAATAAATGTCAATTATCAGGAAAACACGACTAAAATCGTTGCGAGGAAATGGATTACAGGATTTCAATTAAAATATAAAAACTTTACATGTCACACTTTCTTCGCATAATCTCAGACCGGCACTTAAAACACACTGTCGACAAATGCACCTGTGCTTCGGAATTCAAGAAACCATTTATCTTTTGTTTCATTACGCTTCGCTGCATTCAGGCAAAGATAAATGAACAATTTGTGGTGTTTTAAGGCGTTACGTTTCTCAGAATATTGTCGCAATTACAGGAAATCTACGGTTAAATAGATTCACTTTGTTTTATGTATTTCATTGATAGATTTTCGCAGTTGTTAAGATGTGAAGTCGTGTTGTACTTTATAAATACTTGAGATATCAAGTATCCACTGTCACGTAATTTTACGTGCGTACGTGCGTAAAATTTGCGTTCGTAAATAAAATAGAGGCAATGTATGAAAGGCCACACGTACAATTATGTAAGCGTAAAAGTAGAAACTCGCTCAGTTTGACGTTTAATCTCAACACTTTACATCTTACCTCTATTTTATTTACGTGATTAAAATTTACGTGCGATAACGTGCGGAGCAAAAAACGCGTCAGTGGAAATCCACCCTAACGTTACGTATGTGTCACGGATGTGTTTATACGGGTAGCTTTGAACTTGACTATCCGCGCACTCTACTTGCAGCACTTCATGTCCGTAGAATAGAAATCCCATATCGAGCTTTTCCGGGATCGCTTGAAAGTGTTGATTATTTTGGAGCAACTGATCACTTCAGTGGTCGGAAAAAAAAAAAAAAAAAGAATAATCTTAAGGTGACTCGACCCAGTTTTTTTGGGGGGGTACCATCCTACTTTGAAGCTCTCAGGTATCCCCACCTTTACTTTTATCGTAAGTCTAACATATAAAATGGATAACATATAGATCAATCTACAATATAACATAAAATTTTTGGCGATCGGAGTAAATGTCACGTGGTTATAATGCCACGCCCCTTTGAGGTCTGAGTCGAAAATCTGCTGTTGCCGGCATTTTTGCGTGAAATCTCTCGGCTACACATAGTGGGCATTAGTGCCTTGCGCTGAACAGAGTTTCACCAAAATCGCAAAGACCCAATTCGAGAAATTCAGCGGTTTCCAAATTTAGGTCATAATTGCGTTCGACGTTAGGAGAACGCTTCGTAATCTTTGGGGATCCTGTGGTCGATGGGATACCTGTGCATGCCAGGCGTGAAGATTCGAGATTTTTGGTTACTTGGACGGGCGATGTTCAAAATCTGCGCCATTTTGAATAATTATTAAGTGCGCGCACGAATTTTAAGCCCAATAGCCGGCCAAAGAAATTGCGGGCTCACCTGGTGGACATGCGCACACAACTATTTTTATGCGCAAGCAACTATACCTCGTGCGAGTGCGCACGCAACTATACCTCGTGCGAGTGCAAGCTCCTCGTGCGTCCGTGTCGCCTCCGTGGATATCTTTGCGTCCGTGTCGCCTCCGTGGATATCTTTGGATTATTCGGTAAGTTCATTTATTTTTCTCAAACTTCATGCGATGTTTCTTAAAAAGCTCATCGCTTCAACTTGTCAAAGCCTTACCAGGAAACTTTTTAGTACTCCAAGAGCATGTAGAAAGCCCGATGTCGGCGTTGTCCGAACTACAACAAACCGAAGACCTTCGCTGCTCTCCTGCTTTGAATTGATGTCCTCGAATTTGCCGAACAACAAAGCAAATCAACCGATAACTCTGACACAAAGTTGTCTCAAAGCAAATCTACCAAGCCATTGTGCTTTGACCCATAGCGGTCACAAATACAAACCAAACAAACCGAGTCATTGTACTCGGTGGCCATTGCGCCAAATGACCCGTTGTGGTCACAAAGCAAATAAACCGAGAGTCATTCTGCTCGATGGCCATTGCGCCAAATGAAAAGTGACAAAAGTCAAATGGTTACCGGGCTGATAAGTGGTGATTGTAGTTCACAAGATCATGATAAGGCTTTGACAAGTTATTCTTCTGAGAAAATTGAAAATCATAGTGTAACTATTTCTGAAAATGTTGAAGTTCGTAAGAAAAGAGTGAATTGTCAGAGGAAAAGGGACAGGGAACCATCTCGCGTTCCTGTTAAAATAATTCTAAAGGCACTAAGTAATACGAAGTCTAGGAATAGAATCAAGTCTTTTGTAAGACAACATCTTCCAGACAGTTCTTTTATCACTAATTTATGTAGAAATTACAACACCTGGAAATTCTGGTATACCAATGATCATTATTATAGTAAATTTGTTTTTTACATGAACATACAGAAAAAGAAAATTTACAACAACAGATAACTATTCTACATGTAACTGTAGACAAACACATATCCGTGTGGCAGATTTAATGAATTCTGGTGGAAAAAGCTTTCCTCAAACTCATAATGATAATTCAAAATTAAATGGAGGTATGTCTCCTGAGAATGCTGTTAGTCATGATTTACCATGGGATTGTTTAACTGAAAGGCTTCGTCTCATAGGACTTATACCACATGATGTAGGTGGATTTGGGGATTGTTTCTTTAAATCAGTTTCGCACCAACTGTATAGGACTGCTGACTTGCATCTTGAAATTCGTATGGCTGGAATTGGCCATTTACAGAGTTACCCAGAATTGTATATTGAAAGCATTTCTAATGATCACTGGAATAACTATATTCAACAAATGTCAAAACAAGGCACATGGTGTGATAACATCATAATGCAAGCTGTGGCCAATGCATACAACTGTGTCATTCATATCACACAGTCTAATATAAATTCACCTGAAAGTACAATCTTAACTCCTGTTGCTGATCAGGATGGACGAAAGACAATATTTATTGGATATATTAACGAGTTGCATTATGTTTCAACATTGACTGACAAAAACAGTAGATATAAAAACAAACTCACATGCATAAAGAGAAAATTATCAGAAACCAATGAAAACAGACATGGTAGACTTCTTAAGCACAGAAATTACATGAAAAGAGTCAAATATACAGAAACAGCTAATGAAAGGGCAAGCAGACTTGAAGATAAGAGAGGCACTTATAGAAAAACAATGTCTGAAGAAACTGCTGAAAAGCGAAAAGAGAGACTTAAAAATAAGAGAGACACTTATAGAAAAAGAGTGTCTGAAGAAACTGTTGAAAAGCAAAAAGAGAGACTAAAAAGTTACAAAGACTCTTATAGAAAAAGAACGTCTGAAGAAACTGTTGAAAAGCGAAAAGAGAGACTTGCAAATAGGAGAGCCAGTTACAAAAGGTCTCAAACAATTTCTGCAGGACAAAAAGAGAGCTCTGCTGGTCCAGTTCACGAACAAAAACATGCACAAAATAACATGAACGATTTTCATAAGTCCAATCAGTATTCAGTTTGCCAATGCACTGTCTGTTTTGAAGCATGGCCATTGAAATCCAGTCCAAGGAAGGTTGATCACTACCAGTGTCAGAGGTGCATACGAGATAAACAACAACCAAAAAAGTTTTCTAAGGAAAATGACATGGTGCCATCATTAGTACCTTTACAACTGCAGGGGTTAACCCAAGTAGAAGAAATGCTTATTGCACGTGCACTTCCTGTTATGTGAGTTTACATAAAACCTGGTGGACAAAGGGGCTATTCAGGCCACTGTATCAATTTGCCTCAGGATATAGCTGAACTAGCACATTCTCTGCCTAGATACCCAAAAGATCTATCTGTTATTGTTGTTAAGATGAAAGGTAAAGAGAACAGTTTTAAAGATGTGACAGTGCGAAGGCAAAATGTAGCTGATGCACTACAATGGCTTGTTAATAATAACTCACACTACAAGGACATAACCATCAATCACAATTCTTTAAATTCTTTACCAGAACATGGTGTTCCACATGGTCTTTCTCGGTTGAAACAGAGAATATAGATTTGGATGCCACATGTGAACCTGACTTAGGTCCTCAAAATGAAGATGACATTGTTTATAATGAGGGTACTGAAATGAGTAGTTTTCTGCCTATTCCAGAGTGTCAGCAGCAAGAAATAGAAGCTGTGCGCCAACAATTGTCTAATGATTCTAATCACTTGCCCTGGCCAACAGTTGGCAGTGAACCATTAAACGAGTATGTAACTCCCTTTTAGCAACAATGGCTTTCCCAACATTATTTCCAGATGGTAAGGGTGATCCTACTAACCCATCATTACGCCGAGATATACCACTCGGAGAAAGAGTAAAGCACCTTTTAAAGTTTGGAGAAAACAAGAATGACAAATGGGTATATCGCTTTGCTACTCACCCCAGATTTGGTTACTGGGCATTGAATATGATACAAAGAAAACGTATTCTGCAACAGACAGGCATGTTCCTAAAACAAAACCCAGGAGAAGCTCATTTGACTGCTGAAGAGCTGCGGCAAATGGCAACTAGCAATAACACAAGTATGTTTATATCTAAGATATCACGCTATCTTAGTAACATTACTGGTTCTAATGCTTATTGGCACAAAGCTAAAGAAGATTTAAAAGCAATAATAGCCCATGCTGGAGCTCCAACATTCTTTTTCACATTCTCCTCTGCTGATATGCATTGGCCTGAACTTCATGCAATTTTTGGCAACTCAGTCAGTAATAATTCAACTGACAACAAACGGCAGAATGTGATTAACAATCCTCATATTACAGACTGGTTCTTTACACAGCGTTTAGAAAGTTTTATTAAATACTGGTTATACAATTCACTAGATGCTGAGTGGCACTGGTACAGATTTGAATATCAAGCTAGAGGTAGTATACATTGTCATGGTGTAGCAAAGCTGAAAAATGATCCAGGTTTATGTAAACTCTCAGAAACAGCTCTAAAAGGCTATTTGGCTGAAATGTCCACTAATACAGCTGAGCAAGTCAATATACTAGAACTCAATCAACAGATAGTGGATGGGAAAAAGGCTTCCCAGGTAGTTTGTCAGTATGTAGATTGGTTATTGTCTACATATAATCCAGATCCACCAGATAATGGCACATGGGTGAAGCCCTCTATTCATCCTTGTCAAAAGCGTCACAAGGACCTTGTAAGTTTACAAGACTCTGAACAAGATTATGTTGATTTGTTGAATACTGTACAAAGGCACACTCGCTGTAGTACAAACTATTGTCTTAGAAAGAAACAAAACGAAACAGAACTGAAATGTAGATTTAAGTTTCCATTTGAACCTTGTGTTAATACAAAACTAGAGTTTGAGCCCATTCATACAAAAAGATGGAAGCACTCAATACAAAGCAAAGATCATAACAAAGAGGAATGATAGCAGACTCAATAATCACCAACGACTTCAGCTTCAAGGCTGGAGGGCAAACTGTGATATTCAAGTGATCATTGATTATCATGCATGTGTTGAATACCTTGCAAAATATGCTTCAAAAAAGGTGAACCAAAGTCACCTGTAATGAAACTTGCATTTAATTCTATTGTCCGTAATTGCAACAACAATAGCAACCCTACAAAATTGATAAAAAAAAGTGATAATGAAGTCACTTGGCCAACGTGACTTCTCTGCACAAGAGACTATGCATCATCTCATGTCACTGAAACTTGTCAGCTCATCATTTAATGTGGTACCTATTAGTCTAAATGGTTCACGTAGAATCAAAACTATAACAAATGATGGAGATACTGTAACCAATGACTCATTGCTTGATACTTACGCTAAAAGGGAAAAATATATTCAAACCATCCCAGATATAATGGCTCTTAATTTCATTCATTTTGCAACAAAATACAAACTTGTCAACAACAAACTAACAGTTCAGCCTCATAACATGATTCCCAGAGTTTTTCCAGTATTTTCTTCCAATTCAAAAGGTCCAAATTTTGGACTTTATTGCAAATATCAGTTACTTAAGCACAAACCTTGGCATACTACACAAGACAATGCCTGGGATTGTCAGGAAGGCACTGATGAAATATACATCACAAAATGGAAGGAATTTCTACAAACACCATATGCTGAAGAGCATGTTCCTGACTGGTATGAAAAACTACAAAGTGTACAGAATAACACAGAAGAGGAACCAAATATAGAGCACTCTTCAGAAGAGCTTCCACAGCGTGAAGAGTGGATGGATTTAGCAGATCTCATACCTGGGTATTTTGTTAACCAAGATAATATAACACAACAAACCTCTCAGCCTGATTATGACTGGCAAAATGACAAGATTAAGTATGCAAATCACTTAATACAGGAAATGCCATCCTGGATAAAAACTAAGAAAGATACTTTGGATTCTACCTTTGGTTTGCAACAACAAAATATTGATGTTAATACATTCAGTGACATGCAAAGACATGCCTACAATATGGTGAAAGCACATTCTGAACAAGCCTGCCCTAAAGATCCATTGCTTCTTATTATACTTGGAGTTGCCGGTACAGGGAAAAGTTACCTCATTAATGCCATCCGAAACCTGCTCCAACACTCTTGTGCAGTGACTGCCACAACTGGCAAAGCTTCATTTAACATAAACGGATGTACAATCCATTCACTATTAAAATTGCCTGTTGGCCCAAGACATAACAAAGAATTAACAGGACAAGGGCTTGTCACATTACAAACCAAGCTGAAAGATATCAGTTATATCCTAATTGATGAATACTCTATGCTAGGACAAACATTGTTTGGCTGGATTGATAGACGCTGCCGACAAGCAACAGGCAAAAATGACGAAGTATTTGGTGGTAAATCCATGATATTAGTTGGTGACCCAGCTCAATTGCCTCCAGTGGCAGATAAGCCATTATATCATTCGAGACCCTCCAGTTCTACAGGTGAACAAGGCTATTTAGCTTATCACATGTTTGGCAATGTTGTAAAACTGTCAGTAAACCAGAGGGTTCAAGGCTTAAATCAACAGCAAGCTCAGTTTAGAGATTTACTCATACGCCTTCGCACAGGAGATTCTAATGAGCAAGATTGGAAACTTCTTTTGGCAAGACAGCCTTCCATAGCATTGAACGTGAATGAGTTTCAAGATGCCACTAGGCTCTATTTCAGCAATGAAGAAGTTGCTAATTATAACTTTGAACAGTTATCAGAACTTCATCAGCCAATAGCCTGCATCACTGCACGTCACTCTAGTGATATAGCTAAGAAAGCAAGTTCGGATGACATGTCAGGTTTACAACCGACCATTTTCCTTGCAAAAGGTGCACATGTAATGCTTACCATGAACCTATGGATAGATGTTGGACTTTGTAACGGTGCAACTGGAACGGTTGAAGATTTCATTTATGCAAACAACCAGCAACCACCAGACTTGCCTGTCGCTGTCATAGTAAAATTTAATGAGTATAGAGGTCCATCTATCAGTGATAGCATTCCACGATGTGTGCCTATATGCCCAATAACAATAACCTCACAGACACTAGATGGTTTACATGAGAGACAACAGTTGCCTCTCAAACTTGCTTGGGCAATCACAATACACAAGAGCCAAGGGTTAACACTGCCAAAAGCATGGATTGACATTGGTCAGACTGAAACTACTGCAGGCATTTCATATGTAGCTATAAGCAGAGTGAAAACACTTTCATCTTGTATTATTGAACCAATGACTTTTGAAAGACTTAAGAGTCTTAAGAAATCCACTAATTTAAAATATAGACTTGAAGAAGAAAGCAGGCTATATAATCTAGCAAATATAAATTGATCCCAAGTTGAGTGATGCGAACAAAGTCACTCACAACAGTACAGCACCCAAAATTGATTAATTAGAATAAATTGATTATACGGCCTTCAACACATGCATACATAAATGATTTTTTTTTTATGGTTATAAATAGTTCACTTTCCAACTACATTTAAAGCAAAGTTCCATGTAATGTTTCAGAGTGTTGTATTAACTAGGGTTTAAAGGTATTTTAAACACCCTCCTAAAACATCTGTATACATCCTTATTTTTTTTTTTTTTTTTCAACAGACAAGACAGAGATCTAATATGGCTTCAGGTATGTATCTCCCGTCATACTTAAATATTATGGTTATACGTTCCTTTCTTCTATTAAACTAATGCTTCTTGTTTTAAAATCATTTTATAACCTTACCTGCTCTATATGCTCTCATTAATAAAACATATTATTTTGAACATCTAGGTATTAGATGTACACTGTTTCCTATCACTTTTGTCACCCTTTAATGTTCTCATGTAGTTATATGATACAATTTATTTTTCCCACACCTCTTGCATGTTGGTGGCGAACTTTGGCCAAAATATCACTGTTATTTGTACTAAAAATAATCTTAATTACAGTAATTAATGAGTGGTGAACTGCTCCTGTTTTGCTAAATTTTAACACTTCCCCTTCTATTAAGCCCTTCCTTTCTATTTAGCCCCCCCCCAAATGCCTTAAAACAATAAGCCCCTGGGGGCTTAATAGAGGATTTACAGTACATGAAACAAGGAGACTAATATTTACACATATGTTTTTTTCAAATAACACAAGCTACCTTGTGCAGTAATCCCATCCATGCCAAATTTATTACATTAATCTAAATATCTTTTTACCTCCTCCTACAGAAAAACAAGACATAACTTGCTTTGTGCATAATGTCTCACCAGTAA